CAATTCTGCGAAGTTCGTATGTGTGCGTGATTATTTTGTTTCGGAACGCGAAAAACACTTGGACTTGCAGCTCCAACACCGTGCTGCTTATGAGGTGTGGAAGGATGAGTCGAAGAGACCAGGTTCCAACAGTTTATGCATCATTATTGACGGTATGGACCAAAGCAAGATGAGTATTCCACACTTTGGCAGAGAAAACAAGTCGAAGGCATTCGCGAATATTTTGATGATGAAAACAAATTTAACCGCTATTATCGCACACGGTCGTTCACCATCGGTCCATGTTCACACATGGTACCCTTGGTATCCACATGATTCCAATGTTGTGGTGTCATCTATTATGAATGTTCTGCGTGACATACAAGCGACAAACGACTTACCTCCTAAATTGAGGATACAAGCCGACAACTGCTGGAGAGAAAATAAAAACAAATACGTTTTGTCTCTGACCGCAGCGTTGGTGAAATTTGGTTTCTTCAAAGAAATTGAATTCGGTTTTATGTTGGTAGGACATACACATACGGACGTTGATGCCACTTTCAGTCATTTCTCTCGCAAACTGAAAATGCACGATGCTTATACCACGCTCGACCTCTTCAAACTCATTGTCGGTTCCCAAAAAGAGCGTCCTTTGTGCACATTCATGGATGAAATTGCCGACTGACGGGGAGCTGTTAAGCCCTTCCTGATCAACCGACTGACCGGTCATACTAAGCCACATTTATTTAGGTTTTATATGGAGGATGACAATCTGTGTTCCAGTGGAAAGAGTATTGCACTTCTCCGCATTGGTCTTCTCCGGTTAATTGCTTTAAACGAGATGAAAATAAAGCATATGCTGGACCCGAATGGCTATTCGAGCCTTCACCTGTTTTCCCATCACCTATTCGACCTGTTAAAGAAACATCACGTGGTCAGCCTGCTAAGGATAAGAATTCGGATTTCAAATCAGGAATTGAAGGCGTGAAGACGTTTGTTGAGTGGTTGGAAAACAAGGGGCACGAGTGGTTGGGAGTGAAATGAGGTTAGCTTCTCAAAGGAGAGTGCTCTTTCACACTGAAAAACTTTTCTGAACACAATCGAGCAAAATTATGGGTCTGGCTTTGCGAAAATATCACTCAAGGCTGGTTTTTGGCCCTCGCGGGACAGAATTAGGAAGGACGATGTTGAGGATATTGATATTGCCTTCCTCTTGGAGAGCAATGAGAATAAGAAGCTGTTGTTCGTTGGGTCAGCCAATGAGCGTCCAAAAGCAGAGCTCGACCCGGTTGTGGATGTCGAAAAGGGTCAATTCGTTCTCTTGCGTCCTTCGCAAGATGACATCGATCAGGGAGTTCCCGTGTGGATGGGTAGAGTCATTTATGATATTGACAACGATAGGAAGTCACCTGCTTTCAATGATGTTCTTATTGAATATTGGGTGCCACAACCTGTCGTCAAACGTCTTTCTCTGCAATATGCAAATGCATGGAAGAAGATATGGAAAAAACACAGCACAACAGCACAGCAGTGGCCGCACGTGGACTGTGTTTTGTGGAGCTAGTCATCAAGGACGTTGCATTTGGAAAATGGAATGCACATTCCTAAATCGGTCAGAGAGAAAGCCTTGACATGTCTTTCACTTCCCGATGATGAAGACCAGTAGGATAAGTCGCTGAGAAGACCTTATTTCGTGCGTGTTGGTGTACCTTTTACTTGTCATTGAGCTTTCATTCATATATAGTTAAACTATATTGCATTGGCTTGCCTTTTACTTCCCGATGATGAAGACCAGTAGACTTTAAGTACGTCGTTGAGAAGAGGTAATCATATTTTATTCGAGCGTATTGCTGTATCATTTAGTTGTCATTGAGCTTCTGTATTTCATATGTTGCAGAATGGTTCATTCAACGACTGGATGGCCGCCAAGCAATATGGTGTGGGGCAGAAATGTATGGCATGACATGGGGTCTATCTTTTTTACACCTGAAGTGGTTTTTGATGATGCGGTACTCAGTGTCAGAGGTGTGGATGTTGCTGGGAGTATTATCCTCGACAATGTTTGTATATTTGTGGTCGTAGGTGTTGTGGAACAAGAGAATATCCGCGAGAAGCGCTCGCACCGTACTCAGAATTGTACTATTCAGCATTGAAGTTCTACCACAACGACTTCAAGGTGATGACCTTGTACTGTGCAGCGTCAAGTATCCAAAGGCGATGCAAACTTTCTTTTCTTATTCATAACGATTATTCTACAAGTGCAAACATGTCCAATGCACATGACATCGACGGACGAAGACGGGAAGAATTTCGAACGAGGATCATGGACCAACCGTCGCTCAAAGCACTCGTGGATGGGCTCGTGGACACATCGATTACATATGTACGAAGTCTTCTGCTGCACGAGTATGAAGTCATAGAAACTTATGTAGAGTACAAGGACCCCACGTTCGATGGGCACAATGAGATGAACACTGTAGAAGATTGGACAATTTACACGAGGAGAGCGTGAAATTTATCACGCAGATCGTATTAATATCTCCATTACGTACTAGATCTGATTCAAGTCAATAGCCTTAAAATGTCGTTTTCAAGTGTTATCTGGCTAGTATTCAAGTCGATTTCAATTATAGCCTAAGGACTTTGTCTATTCTAAGGACTTTTGCATTAAATTTTCCTTCCACGGTCTCCATATGAAAGGTGTTGTTATAGTTTGAAGCAACTTAAGGTCTTGGACTTTGGAGAGTTGCGCTTTGTTTGAATTTGTTAACTTCCTGTAGAGGGTTTTACAAATTTTGCAGTTTTTTCCTTCGCATATGATGTCATTCCGTTCGTTTATATTCTAATCATTTCGACACTTCTCTGCTCAAGGTTTACATTGTGCCGAAATATTCAAATCCTCTTATTTCGTTCTACAATTTACCTTTTTTTCGGTTACTTTGTTAATTTCATTATGTTCACTTTTTACAAAATAGTTCATTTTTAACGAAAACGCCGTTAAAGGGTTCGACGCAAGGCGACACGAAAATCCTCATAGTCTTCGCAGGCGGGGATAGTTCCAGATATAACACAGTATATTTCTACGTGGTTATATTCCCGCCAGTCTGCGCTAAACAGGAGCACATGAAGGAGGAAGGAATCGACTACAGAGCGGGTGGTGACATGCGGATAGACGGAGACTAGAAGGCGGGTAGCGTAGAGATGGTAGGAAAGGTGGTGGGGGAAAGGGCACCATCCATCGGGGAACGAAGGTCTACCAGGGAGGCGGGTAAGCATGAGGTAGTCACGGGGTCGGCGGGAGAACGACCGGGGACGAATCCCGAACGCCGAGATCTTGACGTAGACGAACGGACGGTCGGGGTGTGGAACCGGATGAAGCCGGCAATTCGCTTCTTTTTCTTCTTCGCCGTTGCGATCCCTCTGCAGCGGCTCCATCGTCTTCTTCCTCTGGCAGCTCCGGATCACGCCACGGATCTCCTATCGATGGATCGATAGGCATTCCCTCCTTCACGGGCCGATTCCCCTCTGTGTTTTCCCATCGCTTTCGCTCCTTCGGCTCTTCCTCCTCTTCGTTCTTATCGCGCTGCTGGCTCGATCCTCCCGCTATCCCCGCTTCTCTCTCCAGGGCATAGTCGGGGTCGTCCCGTCCCTCACTCGATAGCGCCTCTTCTTCCTCTTCTTCTTCTTCTAGCGCTTCCCCTATCTCCTCGTTTTGCACCGCGTTTCTCCGCGCGATCTGGTCCTTGATCATAAGATCGGTGACGTTGATTTCCAAATAGAGCGCCTAGGAGGGATAAGGACAGTTGTCCTCGCCGATTTCTGTATACGTGGACCACACCAAGTGCGGCTCGAGCGTCCGAGACAGCACGTGGGTGCCGGGCTGCTCGTCGCACCTCGAGAAGATATCCAGGTGCAGATCATCCACCAGCTGGGTAAGGAACACCAACAGCTCGCTCGTGATCAGGGCGAAACCTCCCTCCTCCACCTTTCCAAATACGATCCCCAGCAGATCGCCTTCCTCTGTCGTCCTCCAGGCCTGGATGATTAGGAGCTCCACACTTTCCTCTGGGTGCTCTGGCCCTTCTGCGAATGGCGCCGATTCTGACCAGCGGAACTCTATCTCCAACAAGCAGAAGACGAGTTCAGTGTAGTCCTCCCACCACGCGTCCCACTTTTCTTCGTTCAATAGAGGCGCACTGGTCTCCTTAACATGATAGGAGAGAGTAGGGGCCCGCGCAGACTGCCAAAGAGTGGGAATGCAGGAGGGAAGGCCGAAGTAGGAGAGGCGGCGACGACTCATTGGGGCGGCGCGAAGGGACGAAGCTCCGAAAGTACGATCGTCAGCGACCTGCGGGATGAGCGGAGCTGAAAATCGGTGTTGTGTGCGGGCAAGACGGTATATATCCCCGATGAGCAAAGAGTGTCGTCCACGCCGTGCGCACTTCCTCGGCCCAGGTGCGCAGAGTCCGATTGATGCCGGGATGAATCGCCGAGGGAATAGGCGTGATGTCCCCCTTGAAGACGCTGACGACGGTGACATGGCTGATCCCGGGAGGGGACAATTGTCGAAAGGCCGAGGTCTCGGCCAAAACGCGCGTAGTGGCCTCCTCCGTGAATCGGATCTCCGCCGCCGCGTGGATTGCCGCCGTGCTAAAGAAGGCTGCGAACCACAGGAGATCAGAGCAGAGATGGGGCCGTTGCACTTGCCGGATGACGCTGATTCGGCCCCTCGAAGTAAGTAGCCACGCACCGATCACTTGCTCTGTTGCAAAGCTCATGGTGATGGTGGTGGGGACGGGGTACTTGAGGGAGAACGAGATGAGGATGGATGGATAGGCGATAAGCAGTCGTCGTCCTCTTCCGCAGCGGAGGAGGAGACGGATGAAGGTGGAGAGGGCGAAGAAGGAAGGGGACGTAGATAGGACACGTGGTGGGTGATCAGTCGAGCCGATCGGCTGCCGGAGACCTTAGGCGCAAGCCGCACGGTGTTCACGCCGTTCGGTCCGAGCTCAATCACGCGGAATCGCCCGAAGAATCGTGGCGCTAGCTTACCCTAACGAGCACATTTCCTTACCTGCACGATGTCCCCCAATTTGTACTGGGGCTATGGACCTGCGTTTCCGTTCTGGGCCTCGTAGCTTCGGACCTGTCGGCCATGGGCCAACTAAGTCATTTTCTGGCGTTTTCGGGCTAGCCTGGGGAGGGACCGTTCCATTAGCTCTAAGTGCCGCTCGGCCTTGTCCCGAACCGTGGCCTTTGTGGGCCGTCGGTTTAGCGTGGACTCATCGGGGAGGCTCGGTATCGAAACGCAAGCGACACTATTGGTCCTTAATTAGAAGGGGCTCAGGCCCGTCGATTCGTAGGGTGTTCCATGATGGACCGCCAAGATGTGGTCGACGATATCGGGCCAAGGCCTCGAATGCCGTGCCTCGATGTTTCGTCGCAGTGCTCTCTTTATCACCCTATTTGCGTTTTTTACCAACCCGTTGGATTGTGACATGTGGGGCGCGGTATTCCGCACAACGACACCGTGTATGACCAGATTCCTCAACACTTCTTCCCTGAATTCCGCCCCGTTATCGGTCAGGATCTCTTCTGTGTCCTGGTGTATCCCGAGAAAACGGTTAACCTACCGCGTGATTTCGGCCGCTTGCCGCGTGCAACATGGGTAGGCCTCGGTCCATTTCGAAAAATGGTCGACAAACACCAACAGGATTGAATACTCACAACTATTAGGACCAGGGGGTACCACAATATCGGTAGTATCCATGCTTACCCTTTGAAAAGGCCGTTCAACTATCGTTGGTACTATCGATCTTGGCGGCTGGATCGGGGCCTTGTCAGCAGCACAGACTTGGCAGTTCTCGACGATGAATTTCACATCGTCCTGAATATTGGACCAGTACCATTCATTTTCGTCGATTGCTGACTTTGTAATCCGTACGACAAAATGGGCCGCCGTTTCCTCGTGTGTTGTCTTCACCCAGTCATACCTCATGAACGGGTGCGGTACAATCATCCAAATCCCACCGCCCTCCGTTTTCCGCTTTTCTAACCTACCCTCGACCTATCGATAATCCCGAGCTCTTTCATTAGCCCTCCTCCAATCTTCCTTGGTGAAATCCTGGAGGGGGTTGCCCACTAAGGTAGCGATCAGAGCGATATCGGTCCATACTTCAACCCTTCTAAACTTCCGGGTCTTCTCCAACCCTTCTGACGTGGCATCCAAAAATCGAGCCTCGGTCGGGATCTTGTCGACCCGACACAAAGGGCACAGCCACGACTTACTGTTATTTTTGTATTGGATGCACGAGCCATGGGCTCACGCGACGCACTGTCGACAATCTACCCATTCCGCATAGCCTTCCCCGTTATGACACATGGAGACCGAATACACGCGAGAAATGGCTTCGCAAAAATAACAAAATTTATGAGGCAGGGAGGAAAGAGATGCGGAGGAGAGGGGAGAAAGAGGGGTTACGGGATTACCTCCGTCACCCATTGCCACCGGTCTGCATCTTGCCACGTGAGAGAACTGCCACTTGTCCGTACTTAGGCCCGTTCACCGGTTCAGACTCCTTCCATGGAGTGATTTCCTCGCCCTTAGGTACTTTAGCGGGTAGATGCAGACGTGTCAGTCCATCCGCGTTGCCGTGTCTTTCCGTTTTTCGATGGATGATGTCGAAATCGTACTCCTGCAGACGTACCGCTCAACGTCCAATCATGCCGGTGTAATTAGTGAGCTTTTTCAAAACCAGCAGAGGCTCATGATCCGTCACGAGGTGGAACTTTTGTCCGTAGAGATACAGATGGAAGTGCTGGATTCCCCAAACTACTGCATAGCATTCGCCTTGAGGTGCTGAATCATTCCTCCGTTCGTCCGGCACTGTTCGTGACGCATACTCGATGACGTGTTCGCGACCATCGTTCCCCTTCTGCGCTAGAATGGCGGAGATCGCTTCTGGTTGTCAGTCCGTTATAAGAATGAATTGCTTGGTAGGGTCCGGCCGGATCAAAATTGCTGCAGTGGTCAGGGCCTCCTTGAGTGCATCAAAGGTTTTTCTCGCACTCAGAGTCCCACTGCAGAGGTTGGTTCTTTCGAAGCAGGTTCGTGAGAGGCCAAGCAATCGACGCAAAACCCTTGATAAAACGACAGTAGTACGATGCCAAGCCTAAGAAGGCTCGAACCTGCGTTAGTGACGTGGGAACTCCGAACTGAGGCTTCTTTTACGGCCGCAACTTTCCTGGAGTCCGGTCGCAGCCCTCCACGTGTCACTACGTATCCCAAGAATGAAATTTCCGAAAGGAAAAGTTCGCTCTTCTCAAGTGCAATCTTGAATCCAGCATCCCTTAGTGCTCCCAATGTCCATTCGATGTGTTGCGCATGTCCGTGATAGGTCTCCGAGTAGACAAGGATATCATCCATGTACACGATCACACAAAAGTTGATCATTAACTGAGTCAGTCGTGTCTTGTTGACGAAGTTCTGGAACGTTACGTTCATTGCTCGTTGAAACGTGGCAAGCGCGTTATAAATTCCCATCGGACATCGAACCCACTGCCACGTGCCTTCAAATAATACGAAGACCGTCTTTGGCCGATCTTCCTCCTTAACCAGAATGTAATGGAAGCCATGCCGAATATCAAACTTGCTAAAATAATTAGCACACCCAATCGCATCCAACAAATTATCAATCCGGGGAAGGGGGTACACATCTTTCATCGTGATATCATCAACTTACGATAATCGATGCATATGCGAATGGATCCGTTCTTCTTCGGTACTAACACTACTGGAAATGACCAAGGTCTTGTGGCATGTTCGATCCAACCGCTTGCTTCGAATTCCCGAATTCGTTCGAGAGCCTTCTTCCGTTCTATCAGGGAATACCGGTAAGGCTTGCAATGAATTGGGGAATGATTTCCCGTCTGAATTTCGTGTTCAATGACCAACGACAAACCGATGTCAGTGTCCGTTACACGAATCGCTCCCTGATACTCCGTTAGAATGTCCGCAATCAAACGATGAATCTCAGCAGGCACATACTACGGAACTTGCAATTCATAAGACTGATCCCAGATTCGTACGTCGATCTGCTTCGTGCACGCTTGTTTCACCACATCGGGTGGTGGCGCAGAGATAAACGAATGGTCCGACCGCCAGGAGAACACCGTGGCCATCATCTCGGCGTCTTCCTCCCGAATGGCCACGTGTCCTTCCGGGGTGATTCCATCCAAGATATATTGCCATGGTACAGTTTTAGTCGCGATCTTAACTCCGAGCTCATCTGATTCAGCCTCGAAACGCTCAGGGGGTTCCAAAGAACTGGCCTCCGCCCCCAGGCGTAGCAGTCATACTTCTTTTGCGAGTGTCAACAGGGACTTCGGGAGATCTGTGATATCGCAGTAGTGCTTTTTGTTGATATACCGGGCGAGGAGAGGGGCGATTCCTTCGTACATGGTTTGAGGGGGTTCCAAAGAATCGACCATCCTCGAAATCTGTACGAGGGGTTCACCGAAAATCATCGCTTTGGTCCTTTGTATATTCCGACTGGTTAAATGCATCGTTCTTGCGATCGTTCTGGGCGGCGGGTAATAAATGCGCTGTCGTGCCAATTCCAGAATTTCCGGATCGTTTTCGTCACTTTTATCCGCATCCTTCGATGATGGCTCATCGTCTGAGGAGTTTTCCCAGGTGATTATGCGAAGAGTTCCCGCCATTATCGGAGAAACTCACGGGAGTGCGTTGATGGTTGTACGAAGAGTCATCCTCATAGGTACAACATAGGGTTTTCCTCCTGTATTTCGGAGG